GGGGGCCGCGTCTCGCCCCACCCGCGGGCGCCCGCCAACCACGACCCCGCCTTGGCGGCGGCGGGCGCGGTACGCCCGAAAGTGCTGTTTCCGCCCATCGGGCGCCCATGCAACCCCGACGAGCCCCACACTTGCGGAGACGGCGCCGCCCCCGGCCCGCTCCCGCTGTTGGGCGCCCCCGGCTCCCCGACACTCACGTCGCCATCGCCGCCCCGCAGCCCCGCGGTGCGCCCGCGGACCGTGGCCGGAGGCGGCGCCGGCGGTGTGGCGCACTGCAAAAGCGGCAAGAGCGTCTGCACGTCGGTGTGGGCGGCGCCGGGCAGCCCCATCGCGCTGCCAGACACGCGGGAGCAGTTCCTGATCTGGCTGGACAGCACGTTCGCGGCGCCAGACGGCGCGGCGGGCGGCCTGGGCGGCGGCACCGGCTTCAGAGAAGAGGCGCAGCGGCGGCGGCAGCGCAAGGCGGCGTTCGAGGAGCAGTGGGGGTGCGGCGGCGGCGGCGGCGGGGGCGGGGGCGAGGGCGGCGCGTGTGGCGGAGATGCGCGGGGGCTGCAGCGGCTGCTGTGCCGGCCGCTGTATCATTTGTGGCAGGATTCACCCGACGCCTTTGACCGGCAAGGTGCGGACTCGGTCTGAGCCACGCGGCAACTCGGCCTCCTCGTTTCAAAGCAGCTTGTTCTCACGCGTGCCTGCAGCATGCACAGCTGAGGGCGGCGCCAGGGCGACGGCCAGACGCCACCCGATATTCTCTCATGCAATTCAGCGGCGCTTCAGCCAGCGTGCTACCGGCCCCGCCTGTCGCTGCGCCTGACCCCAACCCCACTCACCATACCAAAGCGCGCGTGACTGCCATCTTGAGATCCTAGTACAATTGACAACCCTGTCTGCACGCAGGCAACGCGCGCTGGTCCCCGGCCGTGAGCGAGTACCGGGAGGCCAAGGGGCGCTACGCGCTGCACAGCGCCGCGCGGCCGCTGCTGCAGTGCGAGCCGCCCGCCCAGGCGCCAGAGCTGGCGGCGGGGACCACCCAGGTCGGGCGCCGCTGCCTGCTGCTCTCGTGCCGGGGCACGACGACCGGCCCGCGCCATGCATCTGCGCTTACGGCGATGACGGTTCTTGAATGTAGCATTGACACTCCTCGGTTGCATCGACGACGCTTCTTGAAACACGCTCAATGCTGCACCACTTGTGTTTGTTGAAAGCGGCTTTCGGTGCATCGCCTGCCGCCCGCCCAATGACTCACCGCAGGTGCTGACGACAGGCTGCCTGGCCCCAGAGCTCGCCGCCACCCAGGCGCTTGCCCTGGAGCGCCCCACCACTGCAGAGCGCCAGCAGGGCCGCTGCCCGCTCACCGTGCTGCAGCCCCGGCCGGACCCGGGGACGGCCGTCTGGAGAGATGCGCTCGGCGGCAGCGCGAGCGGCGGGAGGGCGGCAGCCGCGGCCTTGGCGGCTGGGGGCCGAGCGCCGCAGGAAAGGGCCGCCTCGCAGTCAGAGTCTGGGGACGGCAGGGGGCAGCCGGCGGCGGACGGCGTGGGGGCCGGCGGCCCCGGGGCGAGGGGCAGCAGGGGCGTGACGATCGCAGACGCGCCGGCGGCTGAGGGGCTGCTGCAGCAGCAGGACGGCGGGATCAGCCTGAAGGTGGGCGCGGTGGTGGGGGCGGGCCGCAACCTGGGTGGAGACCAGCCACCCCCCTCCCGCACACACACACACAATTCATGCTAGCCGCCAGCCACAGGGACACGCCAGGTCGCTGGTGACCGGCCGCGACCGCTGCGCATCTTCAGGCGCTCACCCTGTGCTCCCCACAGCACACGCGCGCCCCGCTCGATCGCACGGCTGCCGTCCCCGCCACCCCCATGAAACCACCCCCAGCTGCCCTTGCCAGAATTCTGCTGTATTCAAGGCCGCCCGCCCCCTCCCGCCGCCCCCACTCACTGCGCCCCTCTCAGATCGCGCTGTCCCCGCAGCGCCCCCGGACGCTGGTCGCGTTTGACGACCGCATCTTCACCACAGACAGCTCTGGGGCGCGCCCCGTGCTGACGCTGTTTGAGCACGTCGAGGGGGCCAAGGTCAGCGAGGGGCTGTTCACAGAGTACATGCTGCCAAACGGCCGCAAGGTGTTCATGTACTGCGCAGGTGGGGATGATGTGGGCGGGGAGGCGGTTTTACTTGGGTCGAGCGCTTGTGATGGGTGCGGAAGCGGCCGCTTAAACGCGGCGGAGGGCAAGCCCTACAGGGCGTATGGTTTTGTAGGGGGGAGGAGTCGTGGGAGGTGCGCGCAATTCTGCGGACGTGCTGCCTCGCCAGCCTGCACGCGGCGCTGGCCAGGTGACGCACTCGCGTGCTCTGTCATCCCCCTTTCTCGCTCACATGCCTGGCGACAGCAACAATCCCCCCCCCTACACGCGCGCGCACCCGCACCCCTCCACACACACACGCGCACGCGCGCGCACACACACACACACACACACACACACACACACACACACACGCACGCATAGCGACACACACACTCTCTCTCTCTTTATCACTCTCTCTCTCTCTTTCTCTCTCACACACACACACACACACTCTCTCTCTCTCTCTCCCTCTCACATCCCATCCCCCCCTCCCAGGCGGCTCCGTGATGGACGAGGCGGAGATCGGCCCCGTGAGGCCCCCGCCGCGCCCCACCACCGTGCCGCTGGCGCTGCAGCAGTCCATGCCCCTGGCCGAGGTCCTGGATGTCATCGCACGGCCGCCAGGAAGGTGCGGCCGGGAGATGAGCCGTGTGTGTGTGTAAACGTGTGTGTGTGTGTGTGTGTGTGTGTGTGTGTGTGTGTGTGTGTGTGTGTGTGTGTGTGTGTGTGTGTGTGTGAGTGCGCGCGCTGTGACGGAGCCGCGCAGCCTGTCGTTTTGGTGTTGATACGCTGTGGCAAGGATGACGCAAAATTGCACCCTGTCGAAGGGCTTTGCTGCCATCTCCTCGTTGCCTTTATTCAGACAAATCATCCGAATTTTTCAAACAAAACCTGTGCGATACCCACACCGCCTGCTTGCCGGCACCATTCCCGTGCCTGCAGCGCGCCCCCCTACGTGCCGCAGAAGGTGGTGCCGCGCCTGGTGCCGCTGCCGCCGCGCCACACGCTGCCCGTCAAGCGGCGCGACCGGCTGGACGCCCCCGCGTTTGGCGCGCTGCGGGAGGACAACCTGCAGCTGGTGTTCACCGCAAACGTGCGGCGGTGATGTCACCGTGACGGGGCCATGGGAATTCGATCTCAGCGTGCACTTGAAACACGCAAGGCCACAGATGGACCTTGGCTGGTTACCTCCGAGCTCAGTGACTGCACTCCAAACACATGCGCACGCTGGCACACGTATGCAGACGTATGCACACGCACACACGCACGCAGGCACGCACGCACGCGCGTGCGCGCACACACACACACACACACACACACACACACACACACACACACACACACACACACACACGGTCTGTTTACATATCTCCTCGTGGCCAATCCAATCCGCAGCCCATCCTGAAGACCACGTCCACCACCACGGAGGAGGACGTGTACGTGCCCCAAAAAGAGGAGCGCGAGCCCTGGACCCTGCCCATGAGCATCTTCAAGGGCCGGTCAAAGGAGGCCGACGCGCGCGCCTACTACGACGGCGCCGCGGTGCGGAGGGGCGGGGGGTGGGGTCGGGACCGACGGACCTTGAGCGAGCGGGGTGATGGTGTCATCCCTTGCAAGGGGCCCTGTGCGCCCTCGTCACAACGGTGCTAGCAGTCAATTTGTCGCACGTTTTATAACCCAAATCCCGGCAGGGCGGCTGAGCATGCAGCAGTCGCCCGCACCTGCCTCAGCGGCGCTGACGGGCCGGCAATGCCCCTTGAGCCCCGCCTGCCGCCTGTCCCCCTTCCCCACCGCTCCATTCTAGACCCTGGACAAGATGTTTGAGCGCGACTGGGGCCGCGCATGCGCCAAGGAGAAGTTCATGTCGATGCTGGCCCGCGAGAACAGGGCCTGCGCGGCCAACAAGCCTGACAAGGCGGCGCTGGCCGAGGTGCACGCAGTGCTCAAGCGCCACTACCAGGTGCTGGGGCCCGGGGAGGGGCTTGACGATACGGCCTTGGGCGGGTGTAAGCGAGGGTCATTGGTGTACGAGCCAGTTCATTGGGGGCGTGCGCCTTTTCTGATGCAACTGACACTGTCAAGTACCACCCTGCCCGTGTGAGGGAGCTTCAGGATCCAGCATCCTTCCCTCAGAGAGACTGTCGACTTGCAGCAAAAAACCCGCGCGCCCGCCCTGCGCGCGCACCACTCCTTGTGCGCGCAGACGTTCCTGGCGGCGTTCACGTACTATGCGGCCCAGGGCGGCAACGACCCCTACCACATGCCCCTCAACGCCTTCACCTCATTCCTGGACGACGCCGCCATCCCCGACCCGGACTCGGCCTTCATCAAGCGGTCTGACTGCGACACCATCTTCATCGTCGCGAACTTTGTCAGCGATAAGAAGAGGTGCGGCGGCGGCCGGGACCGCGGGGTTGAGCTTGGCGGGGGCGCGCATTGGCTGGCTGTTGTTGATCACCAAGATACACGGCGGGGATGGGCCGCACCAGGCAGTCAAATCAGGCCAGGCAGGTAGCCTGCGCCATCCATCAAGCTGCAATTGCACGCTCCTTGGGGGCCGTGATTGCAATGTGGTCCTCCCCTTGATCCGTGGCGCTTGCACTTTGCCCCGCAGCCCCGAGTACTCTGTCCTGGATGAGCATGCGTCCATGCGGTTCCAATTCATGGAGGCCATCGTTAGGCTGGGTGCGCGCCCCACTGGCGAGGGCGGGCGGCCTGGGGCGTAGTCACGCATGGTGTTGTGCAGGCGGCAGCTTGCCGTGGAGCGACGCACCAGACACGGGGCTGCTGGCCTGAGCCAGCCGCCAGAGACTTTGCAGGCCGCCCTGCCCGCCAGCCTGTGAAGCGCCTGTGAAGCCACCCTGCAACACTTGTTCGCAAACAGCTGCACGTGTTTGATGCCTTTCCTGTGTGTTGTACAAAACAAGTATGGCATGCATGCAAGCATGCACACCTGCACCTATACACAATTCCAAGTATGACGTGCATGCAAGCATGCACACCTGCACCTTTACACACACACACACACACACCCAACACATACAAGTACGTGCACGCACACACACAAGCATCCACACTTATATTGCCACAACGCATGCCCACCCCCCAGCCATTGCCAAGTACGGCAAGGGCCAGGAGACGGACGACCTCGCCACGGCGGTGGAGCTGCTGCTGGAGCGCAACCTGGCGGCACGGCTGGACCCCATGGCGCGCTGCGTGGCCAACGACTTCAGGACGGAGCGGCTGTACACGGAAGAGGTCGACATGCTGCTCAAGAAACACCAGGTGACACGGGAACGCACGCGCGTGCGTGTGCATGCAATTGTGTGTGTGTGTGTGTGTGTGTGTGTGTGTGTGTGTGTGTGCGCGCGCGCGCACGTGCATGCGTGTGCGCACATGTGTGTGCATTCGTGTTTGTTTGAGAGGTGACCTGCACAGATTTGGGCGCCAAAATACAGCACAACCACACTCCTGCGGCCCCCTTGCCATTCACACCTGCTCTTCTGTTTACACCCACCCCTCTGCGTCAAAGGTGGTGCTCAAGGCGCTTTACAGCCGCTACCGCCTGAAACCAACAGGCGGCGGCCTGCGGCCAAAGGTGGGGCGCCCCTGCATGTTTGATTACCACGCGTGAGGCCAGCGTTGCCACCATACGGTGCCCCTGGCCCGCCTTTCCTAGTCAAATCGCTGCACGCCCCGCCAAGCAATTGTGTGCTTGCGCGCATGCCCCCCATTGGTGTGCACACACAGATACACAGCCACAGACACACACACACACACACACACACACACACACACACACACACACACACACACACAATCATCGCAGGTGCTGAAGCTGGACGGGTGGCTGGCGTTGATGGGTGATGCGCGGCTGGTGGACTCCCAGTTCACACTGAGTGACGCGTGCCTGGCCTTCCTGTGGGCCCGCATGCACGTGATTGACGAGGTCAAGGATTACGGCCGGTGAGGGGGAGGGGGCAAGGAATGTGGCACGCACGTGCATGTGGTTGGGTGCAAGCACATGTGGTGTGCACGTGCGTGTGCGCCTGCATGGGCGTGTGTGTGTGTGTGGGTGGGTGGGTGTGGGTGTGGGTGTGGGTGTGCTTGTGTTTGAACCAAGGCAGCTGTTTGCACATGCTGGTGCATGGAGCTCGCATCCATTTGCATGCAAAGACACTGCAAATTGCAGTGTGTTCGCAGCGCACGCTGTCGATTGGCCGTGCTAACCTTGTCAACATGCACCTCCAGCCCGCCGCGCCCTCAAC